ACACGTGTCACATGCAGTTTTACAGTCAGCATACAATATACAAGTTATAATACACGTGCCACATAGTGTTTTACAGTCAGTATAATGATATACAAATATAATACACGTTCAACATGGTGTTTTACAGTCAGCATACAATATACAAGTACAATACACGTCACATGGTGTTTTACAGTCAGCATACGATTTACAAAGTACAATACATGCCACATAGTGTTTTACAGTCAGTATACGATATACAAATATAATACACGTTCAACATGGTGTTTTACAGTCAGCATACAATATACAAGTATAATACACGTGCCACATGGTGTTTCACAGTCAGCATACGATATACAAGTACAATACACGCCACATGGTGTTTTACAGTCAGCATACAATATACAAGTACAATACACGTCACAGGGTGTTTTACAGTCAGCATACGATATACAATTATAATACACATGTCACATGCTGTTTTACAGTCAGCATACGATATACAAGTATAATACACGTGCCACATGGTGTTTTACAGTCAGCATACGATAAACAAAGTATAATACACGTGCCACATGGTGTTTTACAGTCAGCATACGATATACAAGTACAATAAACGTGTCACATGGTGTTTTACAGTCAGCATACGATATACAAGTACAATACACGTGTCACATGCAGTTTTACAGTCAGCATACAATATACAAGTATAATACACGTGCCACATAGTGTTTTACAGTCAGTATACGATATACAAATATAATACACGTTCAACATGGTGTTTTACAGTCAGCATACAATATACAAGTACAATACACGTCACATGGTGTTTTACAGTCAGCATACGATTTACAAATAAGTACAATACACGTGCCACATAGTGTTTTACAGTCAGTATACGATATACAAATATAATACACGTTCAACATGGTGTTTTACAGTCAGCATACAATATACAAGTATAATACACGTGCCACATGGTGTTTTACAGTCAGCATACGATATACAAGTACAATACACGTGCCACATGGTGTTTTACAGTCAGCATACAATATACAAGTACAATACACGTCACATGGTGTTTTACAGTCAGCATACGATATACAAGTATAATACACATGTCACATGCTGTTTTACAGTCAGCATACGATATACAAGTAAAATACACGTGCCACATGGTGTTTTACAGTCAGCATACGATATACAAGTACAATACACGTGTCACATGGTGTTTTACAGTCAGCATACGATATACAAGTACAATACACGTGTCACATGGTGTTTTACAGTCAGCATACAATATACAAGTATAATACACGTGCCACATAGTGTTTTACAGTCAGTATACGATATACAAATATAATACACGTTCAACATGGTGTTTTACAGTCAGCATACAATATACAAGTACAATACACGTCACATGGTGTTTTACAGTCAGCATACGATTTACAAGTACAATACACGTGCTACAGGGTGTTTTACAGTCAGCATACAATATACAAGTACAATACACGTGTCACATGGTGTCTCACAGTCAGTTTACAATATACAAGTACAATACACGTGTTACAGGGTGTTTTACAGTCAGCATACAATATACAAGTATTATAATACGTGCAACATGGTGTTTCACAGTCAGCATACGATATACAAGTACAATAAACGTGTCACATGGTGTTTTACAGTCAGCATACAATATACAAGTACAATACACGTCACATGGTGTTTTACAGTCAGCATACAATATACAAGTACAATACACGTCACATGGTGTTTTACAGTCAGCATACGATATACAAGTACAATACACGTGCTACAGGGTGTTTTACAGTCAGCATACGATATACAAGTACAATACACGTGTCACATGGTGTTTTACAGTCAGCATACAATATACAAGTACAATACACGTCACATGGTGTTTTACAGTCAGCATACAATATACAAGTACAATACACGTCACATGGTGTTTTACAGTCAGCATACGATATACAAGTACAATACACGTGCTACAGGGTGTTTTACAGTCAGCATACGATATACAAGTACAATAAACGTGTCACATGGTGTTTTACAGTCAGCATACAATATACAAGTACAATACACGTCACATGGTGTTTTACAGTCAGCATACAATATACAAGTACAATACACGTCACATGGTGTTTTACAGTCAGCATACGATATACAAGTACAATACACGTGCTACAGGGTGTTTTACAGTCAGCATACAATATACAAGTATAATACACGTGCCACATGGTGTTTTACAGTCAGCATACAATATACAAGTACAATACACGTGTCATATGGTGTTTTACAGTCAGCATACGATATACAAGTACAATACACGTGTCACATGGTGTTTTACAGTCAGCATACAATATACAAGTACAATACACGTCACATGGTGTTTTACAGTCAGCATACAATATACAAGTACAATACACGTCACATGGTGTTTTACAGTCAGCATACGATATACAAGTACAATACACGTGCTACAGGGTGTTTTACAGTCAGCATACAATATACAAGTATAATACACGTGCCACATGGTGTTTTACAGTCAGCATACAATATACAAGTACAATACACGTGTCATATGGTGTTTTACAGTCAGCATACGATATACAAGTACAATACACGTGTCACATGGTGTTTCACAGTCTGTTTTCACTGTGCCAGTACAATCCACCTGCTACAGGGTGTTTTACAGTCAGCATACGATATACCACAGTCAGTTTTCACTGTGCCAGTTCAATCCACCTGCTACAGGGTGTTGGTCAGTGGTTATACACAATACACAAACTATACACAATACCGGTGGTACGGAGTGTGCATATACAATGGACAAGGTTGATATACATTGGATTACTAATTAGAAATTTGATAATCCAATGTATATCAACCTTGTCAATTGTATATACACACTATGCAGCTATGTATATATTCTCCATGTTACAACTCTTTGTATCACTTGCTTGATAACGGTGTTAGTACCTACACAGAAACGTCGCACTCATTGCAATAAAGAAGTTGACTATCTATAGAACTTGGTTTTCCTTCATCTATACAACTTCTAAAATGCCTCTCAAGGAAATATCAAATGAATATAAGCGACATATTTTGCGCTATAATCTACAACGTGATCTAAAGGCCGATTGTTCATGCTTGTCAGACAATCGTCTTAAGCAGTCTAGCTGACAACAGTGGGGCAAAAGAAAAATGAGCTTCACATCATACCGTGCAGGTGGAGAATCGAGTGAGTTTTGTTTTACGCCGCTTTCAGAAATATTACAGCAATATCACGACGGGGAACACCAGAAATGGGCTTCACGCATTGTACCCATGTGGGGAATCGAACCCCGTCTTCAGCGTGACGAGAGAACGCGTTAACCACTAGGCTGCCCCACCGCCGGTGGAGAATCGATCCCGGTCCTTCGACTTGAAGGGGCAACACTGGTGTATGCATAATCATTCGTTGCCATGGAAAACAAGTACATTTATGTACAAAATAGAAAAACATCACATCAACAAAATACATCGTAACGTGGTAATAGCCATTTAATGGGTTCTGAAAACTGACGTACGGGCAATTAGTCATGTACAGACAACAGCAACACATTGACATATTTCTCGGACCTGCTCAACTAAAACTTCTAAACGAGCGCTGCTGACGTTGCTTATATATTCGTGAAGAAGTCTTTGATTTTTTTCGAAGAGAACTTTGGCCCATAATTGTAAACCAAAAGCTACTGTGTTCTTTAATCTGATTGGTTGAAAAACGTGATCAAATGGTATTAGATTCCCGGAAATTCGCTGCGTATTAATACATACAAACATCGCTCACACCATTGTATTGTTACGTCGTCACAAATGAGCAGTTCCAGATGCTACCATGGGAGACAGCCGAAACGGCCGTCTGATGACATTTCACTGCTGTACCGGTACTCGATGTCAATGAGTGCAGACACAAAAACGTGTGTGAACCTTCTGGTTTACTTTTGTGTTTACAATGTCGATAAGCATCATGTGTTGGCCAATTTCCGGGTGTTATTGAGTATTTGAAGCACGGGAATATTATTCCCGTGCTTCAAATACTCAATAACATGGCCAATTTCCGGGTGTTATTGAGTATTTGAAGCACGGGAATACTCAATAACACCCGGAAATTGGTTAACACATGATGTTTATCTCCTAAGTCGCACTCAATATGGCGGCCATGTTGGCACGTTTTGTGGTTCAATGTGCAGAGAAGTTCCTGGACACAAAGTATGGACATTTTGAAAGCTCTGGAGCTGATAGTTCGAGCTCGGCACATTTTTGGAGCAAAATACTCATAAAACAGTTGAAAAATATAAACACGTTCAACACGACGTAGCTGCCAAACGGTGCTTTTTAGGCACTTGGGTACTACACTTGAAATAGAAAGAAACTGGATTCTACACCTTCACCAGAAACGTGGTAGTCATTGGACATGTAGTGTCGGAGATTATTGCTTTGGAAATTGAAATGTTTGAATACATTTTGAATTATCTGCCCTTTGCTATTGAGCCAAGAGCCTTGAATCTTTTGCACAAACAAATTCAGCACTGTGGGCACCTTGAGTATTATTTAAACTGATTCTGAGCTCTAGTTTAGAAGCTATGTTTGGTACAAATATGGCGGAATAATAAATGATGATAATCCGAACGATTACAATAAGTTTCCCGCCCTAGGAGACCTAAACATCTAAATTGTTCAACTTTGATAAAAAGAAGAATGGTTTTGAATACCTTTGGAGTCACCAATCAGTTGTATTCAAAGCGGAATAATACTTATATACTTTTATCATCCACAATAAGTAACACAGGTTTTCGGTTTTAGCAGGGAGACTATATAACTATTATCCCTGGTTTTAGCAAATAATAATCTATTTTACTTTTCAGGCGCTGAGCTGACAACAACGACAACCCCATAGCTCAACCAAGGGGAAGTAAGCACGCAAAGTAGAAGGGCGCATGCGTCAGTTATCGGAAATGCTGTAATTCCCCGCGAAACTGTCAACAACAAAGTGCCGACCTATTAGCTGTTGCACATTTTGATCATGCCCAAGCGATCCAACCCCTTTGGTGAACAGTCACCCTTGCAGCTGAAAACACATGTGGGTCAAAAGGAGGTGGATCTCGGCGTTGCACAAGACAAACTCATGAAGTCTGTATACGGTACGTATTTAAACATGCATCGGCAGTAATTTCTCGACGTCAGTGTTTAGAATTCCAAAACCAGTTAATGTTGGGATGCCAGCTCTCATAGGTTTGGTAAAATCAGTTATCAGTTCCACATTATGCATCCTGAGATTCTTTAGACGATGGCTGAATCTGCGAAAGAGGGGGGACATGATCATGATCATGTCCTTATAATGAGGCTGACGGGATCATGGCGGCACAGGTACTGCAGGTACAGCGGGTGGCCACAATATTACGTACATTGTCCATATTTTTTAGTAAGTTTAGATCGGAGTGCACAAACAGTTTCACTGGTAGGGCGGGTGCCCAGTCGCTGTCATGAGAAGTTTTATTGACAATGGAAATCGGGAAGAAAAGTTATATAAAAAGCAAACAAACATCAATATTATTTACCCGAGATCGTTAATACCACTTCAGATGCAAAATCAGTTGCCTTTATAACAAAATATAGCAAGTGAAAATTCAGTAAGATCAGTCGTCTGCTGGACAGGCAATATATAAATAGGAAGCCACATGATCACAACGCTCCCTCGCAGTGCGGAGCAAAAAGTATGGCTCATCCTCGAAAACCCATACAAAATACCCGAATGTTACGAGCGGCCACTGTTTCGCCAATACGATGTCATCAACGCTATTTTTGTAGGAAACGCTTGATATTTTTGTGTGAAATAGATGAATATATCCTTTATCACTCGAGGTTAGTAAAATAAAAACTTTAAATGATATTACAAATAAAAATTACGTTTTTGTCTTACATCGTCGAAAACACCTGACACCGGGATATGTACCCGAGGTAACCACGGTGCGGTACAAGGCCTTTGGATCGGTATATATAAAATAACGGCTGTCCAGCAAAGAAATGGGTAAGAGTTCCACCCCGTAACCCATTCTATTTATATTAGGATTATTTAGGGGGGGTTATTTAGGAGGGGTTAGGGTTATGTTTAGGCTTTTTATTAAAAAGACTTCGGCCTATATTCCTAGGCATAGAATGATTAAAACAATATGCAGGTTACAGAGGGAAATCTTTCCAAATGATGGTATGAAAACCAATTTTTTTATTGCATTATGGTACACCTAATCGAAGGCAAAATACCGCAGTTCAACTAATATCATGGTATACCGTTTCACCCCGAGGTACATTAGCCAAAATCAGAATACAGAGTGGTAGACAAAGATGAGTCAACTCCGTTTACAAGTTTCCTTGACTGAGCATGGACTTTCTGGATCAGATACCCGTGAAGATCCGGGTTAAAATGAATCTTCAGTAACCCATGCTTGTCATAAGAGGCAACTAACGGGATCGGGTGGTCAGGCTCGTTGGCTTGGTTGACACATGTCATTGGTTCCCAATTGCGCAGATCGATGCTCATGCTGTTGATCACTGGATTGTCTGGTCCAGATTCAATTATATAGCTGGAATATTACTGAGTGCGGCGTAAAACTAAACTCACTCACTGTGGATCAGAGCTGTTATACTGTTCTCAGAGATGCATTCCACTCTGTCTTATAAAAGTAGAGCATGATGTGTGACATACGTAAAGTACTATTGCTGTTGTCGGGGGCTTGTTGACACAGGTACTACAGATATGTACCCCATGTGTGTTTCTGTATACAGAAATTTACCGTAAACAAAGTCAAATACTGACAATGTACCCTGTACCCTTAGTGGGGACAAGCCCATATTCGTCAACCCCAAACCAAGACGGGTTCATGCTGTACTTCCCTTTCACTTGATTTTTAAAGGTATCGTGAAATATTTGTCATTGTGTATGCTCGTTTCTTATAAATGTAATAACCCGTGAAGATCCGTGATAGAACAGGTCTTCAGCGACCCATGTTGTTGTAAAAGGCGACTAACGGGATCGGGTGGACAGACTTGTTTACTTGGATGACACATGTCATTGTATCCTCATTGCATAGATTGATGCTCATGTTGTTAATCACTGGATTGTCAGGTCCAGACTCAATTATTTACAGACCGCCGCCATATACCTGTAACATTGCTGAGTGGGATGTTAAGCAACAAACCAACTATAAATGTTATCAAATGCATTTTGTACAATAGTACGACAGTTCCGTTCAAGAAAATAGTGCCGAATGGATGCATCCTACGATGCATTTCTGTATTATGATTTTGGCTACTGTGTTTTCTCTGACAAGAAAAGTACCTTCTTCATTACTGTTTAATCCCACCTAAGCCTACCTAGGGCTGTAAGATGATTTGCTGGCAGACGCAACTATCTGTAAGGACAGTGGACATAATCTTTGAGACAATGTTTATACAACTATACCAAAGGGCGCGTGTTAATTAATTTCATCAGCCTGAATGAGCAGACGTAAAGAATGGTGGATCATCAGATGCTGTTATCTGGAAATATCCAGACTCCAGGCGTAAAATCAAACTCACTCACTCATGTGAAAATGTCATTGCAACTGACTAATGATGTCATGTGAAAATGTCATGTCAATTGACTAATGATGTCGTGAAAATGTCATGTCAATTGACTAATGATGTCATGTGAAAATGTCATGTCAATTGACTAATGATGTCATGTGAAAATGTCATGTCAGTTGACCAATGACACTAAAACCACACTTTTGATTTATTTGAAGACATAAACTCAATCAACCCTCACAAAGTTGCAAACAATATGATTACTCCTTGCCGGTTGTCATCCATGTTTGATAGTATTAACCAACACCTGTTTATTTGTCATCATTCACTTGATGCTCAGTGAATGAATTTATAACAGGCACAGTTAGTAGTAACACAACCTCTTTTACCCGACAGAGGTTCCAAAAGCTTGGCATATCTTGTGTCCAGGGGTAATTACTCAACCTTGTAAAACCAGGTCTGATGTTACAAATGTATTATATGTTATGTAATATGCACATGGAAAGAAAAGGAATTTAACAGTTGACTTAAAAACAACATTGATCAAAGGATTAACTAATCATATATTGATGGATTAATCACTTGTCTTGCAGAATGGATTTGTCAAAAGTTAGTGTTAGTGTATGTAGGTTCACTAACACAGCCTGAATACAGCCATATACTATCGTAAAATACCTGTGTAAAAAATGTCCTTTCTTCAAATGTTTAACCAACTTTTATCGAGTGCTCGCTGTTGTCTAGCAAAAATTATTTTAAAAGATTTGTTGACATCATGTAAATAGTTGGCACGTGTACTTTCTCGGCTGACCAGTGAAACATTATGCCATCTGAAAAACCTGAAACAAAGTCAAGTGACCAGTTGAGAACCTACCATGAGTGCCCCTTTGAAGTTTACACTGATTTCAGAACAGCAGTAACGCCACTTTTCTACCTCATAAATGAAATTTGAACAAAAAATATTACATTTCAGAGAAAACAAGAGACATTTTGTTCAAGGGATCCCAAAAGGCTTTCACTAAAGATGTCGTCGTTGACGCCAATGACAACATGATGTGGCAGGCCTCGGGAGAACCGACGTCATCGTGCGGCCTGCTGCCAGGTCAAATGTGTCTTGACCAGAGTGGTCAGCTGACCACGCCTACAGCTAAAAGTGAAGAAACGGAGATGAGGATGACGACAGATGAGGACATGGCCGTGGGGATGACCGACTGTGGCGACGTCAGGACACGACTTCCTGGTCAACTGTGTCTTGACCACAATGGTCAACTGGTGTCATCAACCGGGGTTAGTGGGGATAAGTCCGAGGACTCAGGTGCTCCTGGATTCTCCTTCAAGAAACAATCAACATTTCCGTCTTTAAGCTTAAAACCAAAAGGCAAGCTAAATATTTCAATTGTAGGGTGTCTGGTTTGTCGTTTTGTTTCTATTTTTCCACATTCTGTGTTCTGTAATGCACTGTTCATTCACAAAGTTAATTATAAAATTCAAACTTCATGTTTGATTCCCACCATGCACCCTACCCATCCTTGCTGCTTGTTTTTGGCATTAGTGTAGCTATAACACAGTACTGATGATACTCAGTTTTTTCATGTACTCTCCAAATGTTCATAGAAACCTTATGTTGTGACTTTCTGACATGTTGTTCAATGAGTAAGTTAAAGTTCGCATGATAGACATTTTGACATGGAGCCATTGTTGTCAAAAAACTTCATATTTCCTCAATGAATGACATCAGCTTCTACTGTGAGCTTCTGTATGTAGGCAGTCTAAGTAAACTTAGGCTCAGTATTATTCGTTACACTCCTATGCTGAGTCTAACAAACCCCAGTAGAAGGTCGCGTCAGCTAACCTTTTGAATTAACCAATCAGAACACAGCTTACCAAATCGCGAAAGTTAACATTCTCACATACCATTTGACCTTTTACCTCGAAAACTTGAACGATTCCAATCGCTTCCGAGTGTTACACATGGAGGACGCATTATTCACAACAGCAAGTAAACAGTCGCTGAACAAAGCGTTTTTGTCGGTATTCCAGGATGTCATCTTGTGGAAATATAAGCTAATAGTAACCATATCATCAGAAACCCCTAAGCGTATATACTTAGTGATCAGTGTCAGCAACCAGGGAAGAGAAAATAAAAAAAACGTTTTGTAAGTCCTGCCGAACCCTATTATAGTAGCCGTTGTCTTATTGGTTAAGTCTGCTCACATTTGATTGGACGGTCAAAGGTCGCTCAAAGATAAGCTGACTCGACCTCTACTAGGGTTTGTTAGACTCAGTATATATAGCAGTGTAACGAATAATACTGAGCCTAAGTTTACTTAGACTGTGTATGTTTCAAACAATCAAACAGAAGGCATCATATAGTAGGACAATATTATAGTACCATTATTGGTCTTGAAGAGTGTCATTAGCATACCTGTAAGCGTTATTTGAAAGGTGTTTATAACACAGTTATATGTTTGAAATAAATCCCATTATGAGGTCCTGTTCTTGACAGCAGTGTTAAAAGTACCAAAGTACAGAACCGTAACCTAATTTCGTGGATAACCTTGATTCATGGATTGCGGTAATCCTCATTCTATCTCGTAAATTAAGTCTCGTATGACGTCACGATGCGGTACTTGTGGTGTACACAGTCCCACGCCTCGCTGACAAAAATGTTCCGAATGTCTGCATTACACGTAAATACACTAAATCTAATTGTCCAGCACTGAGATAAATAGCCCAAGATCACTAATAAAACTAATACCAAATTTTGTTTTTACAAAATATCAAGTAAAAACGATACCGTTAGCACCAACCTTCTCACATCTCGTCGTCTGCTTTCCTAGGGGTCAATACTTATTGCAATGGACTGTGATCCACGAAACAAGGTGGCGTCACATTTTGTGCTCACATGAATGGGTGATACTTGCAAATGGCTTCAGTAAACAAACGTTTCATTCACGAGTTGAATATAAGGCATTTTCAATTTTTGCTGAATCAATAAATATAATAATGAGTATACAAAATGAAATCGTGCATTTAAAATATGACTTTCAACGCATTTCCCTCATATCCACGAATGAAGGTTACGTGAGTGTACATTGTTTTGTATACAAGCGTCATGCCTCAAGCCTCCGTGATGTCAGGACAGTGGTTATTCCCATGCACATTACACTTTTATCAGTGGAGTAGTTGTGAGAATAAGGAATAATAAGTATTTTGTTTTATTCCCAAAATGCCTGAAGGAAGGATAGTTAAAGTAAGCGTCACTTTCAGAACAATGACATGACAGATATTACTATCCCCTGGCATGAAGTGGGTGGGGGATATTGGTTTGAACCCCGTCAGTCTGAGATGATGGGGACAGATTTTCTCAAAAGACATTATAGATAGGGAAACCAAATTTGGTATGTGTTTACAACATATGAATGCCTTGATGGAGTTTGTAAAAAGAAACAGTGTTACAATGTCATACAGAGTTATGGCCCTTGTCATGTGTTTCTTGACTTCATGCATGTTACTCCCAATGGGGACAGATTTTCTCAGAAACCATTATAGGAAACCAAATGTATGTGTCTTCAGGAGATGAATGTTATAGTGGAGTTAAAAAACACAAAGCAAATAGGAACAGACCACTGTGGCGGCAGATACTGATGACCATGTCTTCTTGTCTATATCTGTGTTGTGTCTGTGAGCATTATCCATGGTACATGGGTGGCTGAAATGGAAGAACTAGTCAACATGTAACCTTAAATGTACAGATGTCACCCTAAACATAATTTTTGTGTGTAGCTGGTCATGCTTTTACAAGGCAAAAGGCAGAAATGTGTACATTTTCTGTCACTTGTTGGTGTGGAGAACTAGTTCAGAATTACAGCCTTCAAAATCTACTGGTAACTAATGACTATCAATAGTATCATCAGTGGAGTTTTACTCATCAGTCTCAGCACAATATAAGTAGTCTCAGGTAGACATTCTACTTTAGTCAAAACCATCAGTTTTGATGTTTTCTTGTCCTCCTTCCAGCTGCATGTGTCAACTGTCGTACCACTGGCCCACGTGGAACATTCATGGCCTGCAACTTTTGTGAGCAGGTGAAATGTCCCTCTTGCAGCATCAGGTGCACCCAGTGCGGGGGGGACTTCTGTCGGCTCTGCTCTGTGCTCAAGTAAGTGATCCCCAGCAGAACATTTCACTTTCAGATAGAACACAGGTGTGAACCCCGACAGGATGCTAGTGAAAAGGACTAAGATGGGACACGGTTGACAGTGATCCACGGACAAAACACTTCTGACAGTGATCCACGGACAAAACACTTCTGACAGTGATCCCCGGACAGAACACTTCTGACACTGACCTTCGGACAGAGCACAGGTGACAATGACCCTCGAGCAAAACACTTCTGACAGTGATCCTCGGACAAAACACTTCTGACACTGACCTTCAGACAGAGCACAGGTGACAATGACCCTCGGACAAAACACTTCTGACAGTGATCCTCGGACAAAACACTCCTGACAGTGATCCTCGGACAAAACACTTCTGACAGTGATCCTCGGACAAAACACTTCTGACACTGACCTTTAAACAGAGCACAGGTGACAATGACCCTCGGACAAAACACTTCTGACAGTGATCCTCGGACAAAACACTCCTGACAGTGATCCTCGGACAAAACACTTCTGACAGTGATCCTCAGACAAAACACTTCTGACACTGACCTTTAAACAGAGCACAGGTGACCATGACCCTCAGGCAAAACACTTCTGACAGTGATCCTCGGATGCCCTATTGATGCGAGTTGGAAACCTGATGTACTACTGTACCACAGTGACAATCAACATCCTGTGTAGATTTGTATATGCATGTGTTCAGATGGTGATGTAAGATCTTGAAAAATCTGTCCACAGTTAATTCAGTGTCACAGAGTTTTTCCATTTGTCCACAGTTACGATGAGGCAGTTGAACGACCCTTCTGTCTGAACTGTTCCTGAGAAGGGTGTTGGCAGTGTAGTCCTCTTAAAGTGATGTCCGGTCTCTCTCCAAGATGACAGTGAATACAGAGGTCATCCAGGACTTTGTCCAAGAGTTCAGCCAGCCAGACCCAGCCAAATTGACCAAGTGGAAGAAATTAAATAAACCTTCTCAAGCCTGGTAGTGGAAAAAATATGGGTTCAGAGTCTATAATCTTCAAATGTGATTATATTGACCAGAGTTGTCCAGTACATTGTGCTTTAACATTGCAAGTGTTCTTTAATTGTAGGGTGGTAGCTCAAGACATTTACAATTTGAAGTAGGCAAACCCATGTAAAGTATGTTTTCTGCCAAAATACATCTTATAAGATGCATTATAATTTTTAAAAACACCCTTGTCATAATTCAATTAAACAAATGGAAGGTCCTTATTAATCATTACAAACTCATCATTAAGTTCCTCAGGATTAACTGATTTTCGCTGCAGAGGGAGTATACATGGCACGTCCTTGGAAGCTGTGATGCCTCTAAATCTTGGTGCTGTGATATGCGTTGAAGGTTCTGCATTAAGGTTCACTGCTAGTCATGGCACAGTGAAGACTGTTCACAGGATGGCCGTAGTTATCTCCCTTTGATGCATTTTTGAGTTTGTTAACTAGTCCAAGAGGTCATGTTCTGTTCACAGGATGACTGCAGTTATCTCCCTTTAATACATTTTGCATTCTGGTTTACTAGTCCAAGAGGTCATGTTCTAGCACACCAAAGCATGTTTGATCTGGGCCCTGCTGCAGAAAGTACATGTTAGTTGTAATTCCCATACTTTAACATAGACTTACAATTGTTGTAGTGCTACAACCTCTTTGTGCAACAGGGTCTGTTTAGTAGTATCATTGACTAGCCATTGATGTATTTATATGACAGCTTTAAAGAATCACCAAATATTGCTAAAAACGGGCGGTAGACTTCCCTTGAGAACCTTGATGACCGGAGCCATTGTTGTGCCTCTGTCCTTAACCTCTGTTTGCTTCCCCCCTCGCTGTGCATAGGGAGTGATTGGGCCGTTGGTATGGAGCGAAACGGCGATGTTTCCCACCTTGGAGTATGTTCCTCTCACCTGAAAGTTTACTGGTTAAGTGTTTGGAGTCAGTAATGTCCTATATTTTCTTACCTAACTCATCCCCAAACAAGTTTGCTGTCGTAACGACAGCATTTGGTTGGCACAGTCTTTTGTATGGCCCACTCAAGTCTGGCTTGAAAGCTTCCCTTCTTTTCTGATTTGTGTCTGACAAAGCTGCAATCAGCAAACGAAGGGCATCTTTTGATTTTGTCAGCATAGCCTTGGGATCAACTTCTTTCTTGGCTTCAAAAGCGGCCATGATTTCAATCATCTGCACGATCGGGACAGTTGCTTTAACAACAAAACCCTGTGTGTACTGAGCTCTCACATCTTGTGTCCTTGGTCGTGCCTTTGCCTCAGTCCATATTTCCTCGTTAGCTTTCGTTACCTGTAAAGTAGGACAGTTGCTTGGCTGCTTGTATTTCTCCATAATTTCTTTCATCTTCTCGTGAACTGGGGCTTTAACAAACCTGTTCTCAATAGAAGTGGCCAGATCTCCGTGTATACTTTCCGACTTGGATTCATCTTCATTGAAGAAGTCTCTCAAATATGCCACTAGTCCACTGACACTAACACATTCATCCTCCTCAGCTTTGTTCCCGGATTTGGGGTTTGCATATCGTGACAAGTCACTTTCTAATAAGTCCATTTCAGCGTCAGAAACTTGATCCGAATCTGACAAGATTTCACTGTCCTCGTTTCCGGTAACATGGCGGCTTGATGTTTGTTGACAAATGTTCGGCTCTTTCCGTGACTTTCCAGGCGATTCTCCACATTCTCCGAACATTTCATTAAAAACAACCATAGCAGCCCCAAACTGTTGCTTGGTGTCAGATTGCACCTTTGTGTCTCCAGTAGAGCACCTAGTAACGTTTGTCCGACATGACTTCGCTTTGACCAGCCAATGTAGGCGGCCTGACACTGTCTGTTTCACTGGCTTCTTTAGTCAAAGTTGAAGTTCTGTCTCTTGCATATTGACTGCACTGGGTGTCTGATTTAGAAGAACTTGCCTTGCTTTGCGCAGCTGCAAAAATGTTCTTACGATTCGGTTTGCCTACGAAACCACTGACTTAACAAGTTCAGTCTTTTCAGATGGACAGTCATCAGTGCCTGTTGCTGGCATCGCCATTTTGAACTTTGACCTTTAGAGCCAACCACGACCAGCGGTCGTCTTGGTCAGTTACCTTTGTGTAACTCCCAATTTAGTCAGCTGCAAAAGTTTCTCTAGGCACCAAACAGCGTTGTGGTATGTAGCAACTGAAGGGATTCACGTTCTCAAATTAGTTAAAGTGATTTCTTCTCAAGTCAACGAAAGTTTGCGTATGTAGACTAAAACGCAAAACTGATGGCTAAACGCAATTGCACATCTCACGTGATCCTGTTTCACGGAATAGTGAGGTGGAATCACCAAGTATTGATTAAAATAAAATGAATTATTGTTAATGTGAGTCAATGTAAAATATGAACTGGGCTTATCCATAGAATTGGATTCTGTCTGTCATAACCGTGGTGAATAGATGTATATTTCTCAGTGAAATATTTACGTGGTATAATCTTCAGAATTTTGTTCTGATAGTGCTTTGGTATCAATTTACTGATTCTTGAAATGAAGACATACATTGATGTCCCTAAATTATTATATATAATTTTGTATGATGCCCTAGTATACAGTGAAACCTGCCAACACCGACACCTGTCTAATCCGGCACACTGTCAAAACCGGCATAAAATATTGGTCCCGCCATTCTACAACGATATTATAATCACTAAAACATTGTCTAACTCGGCACCTGTCTATTCCGTATTCCGGAACGACTTTCTGGTCCCAACAAGCAATTTTAACTGTAATTAACACTGTCTAAACCAGCATGGGTATGAGCAGTCCAATCAAGGACCCATAATCCCATAAACTAATTAAGCCTCTTGGAACGCTAGATAATCAGGACGTAGTGATTGCGCGGTGAATCAAACACTCATAGGATTTCCTTGTTATCCCACGCCGTGCGTTTAGCGCAAAGCGGGGGATATAGTGTTAGGGTCCGTCCATACGTATGAATTGGAATATCTTAAGAACCGTTGACTGGATTCTTATCATATTTGGTACCTAGGTTCATCACAGTAAAAGAAAGGTCCCAGTCAGGTTTGGGGACCTTGACCTTCATTTTAAGGTCACAAGGGGACTTTAACGTTTTACCCTTGTCAGCGAGATATCTCAAGAACCGTTCACTGGATTTTCTTCATATTCAAAACCAAGCTTTATCTAGGGAAGGCGCAAGGCCCAGTCGATTTTGGTGACCTTCACTTAATTGTCAAGGTCATGGCGACACTTTAAAGATTTCAGTATGTTAACCTGCATGTTAAGCTTGTCAGCGGCATATCTCAAGAACAGTTAGCTGGATTTTCTTTATATTCAGCAACAAGCTTTATCTAGGGAAGGCGCAGGGCCCAGTCGATTTTGGTGACATTCACCTAATTTTCAAGGTCATGGCGACACTTTGAAACTTTCAGCATGTTAAGCTGCATGTTAAGCTTGTCAGCGAGATATCTCAAGAACCATTCACTGGACTTTCTTCATATTTGACACCAAGCTTCATCTAGGGAATGTGCAACGTCCAGTCGATTTTGGTGACCTTCACATAATTGTCAAGGTCACAGCGACACTGAAGATTTCAGCATGTTAAACTGCATGTTAAGATTGTCAGTGAAATATCTCATGAACAGTTCACTGGATTTTCTTCATAGACTTTCAAGACTTCCCGTGAATGTTTTTCAATAAGCAATTTCTTTATTACTATTTTTGCATATTTCATACGCTAAGACATTTATGTCAAGGTCTTGAAAATATTTGTGCGTTTGAACAACTACAGATTAAGATATCAAGAGAGGTTGACTTGTCATGTTTTTGTTGACATTTAATTTCATCTTAAATTACGACCTTCACTTTCATTACTTTTTAAGTTTGATTTGATAATTTGCGACGGGGGATTATGTCACCTTAGTGACAATGCTTGTTTATGCTTTATAAACACTGGGGGATTGCAATAACTGTTTTCAAGTGAGTGGAATGTGTCAGAGAGTATATAAATAGGCATTGGTTTAATAATAACTGACTCGTCGGTCACTTTGTGTGTCATGATGGCTAGACCAGCTAAGCGGGCACGTTTGCAGTTAACAATTGTTTAAAAAATTCAGCTTATCAATGACTTTGATACTCTTCTATCAAATTGGCAGGCTAACCATTTTGGACATTTTACAAAAGTGTGATGTTTATCGATCCAAATTTGGGTCTCGTGTTTTGTGCATTACCGGATTGAAATAAAGAAATTGACAAGTGTAAATGGCAGCCATGTTGGAAAATGATCGTCACTGTCTAATCCGGCACCCTGTCTAAACGGGCATTTTATTTTGGTCCCGTGGGGTGCCGGTTTTAGACAGGTTTCAATTTAGTTTGTATGATGCCTTAGCTACATTGTCTTTATTTGTTGATATTTGTAGAGCGTTATGATTGTTGTGTAGGCTTGTAAGGCATTTATCATCAGTTAGTTCTCCATGTTGGTACTCTCAGATGGCAGCCTTGATCACAACTCGGACCAGTGCTACAACCAGCTCTTGTATTTACCGCTGTTGTGTCTTGTTCCATGTACATACAAGCAGGTGGCTTCACATGTTCAGTGCTTCTTTCTGTGAAAATGTTTGACTGGTTTACTCAAAAATGTGATATTGTACATGATCATGCTTTATAGCTGGTATGTGTTCACTGAATGATTATGGATGTTATACATCACATTGTATTGTCAGGATTATGTAATTAATTACGTTGTTAATGTCAAGTATTATATTTGTACAGTCTCGCAACCCTTCATCTGGAGTCATGAAATGCTGTACGTATTGTGACTCGTAGATCTGCAAATATATTTACTTGATCCAGCTTAATGTATTCAGTTTTAAAGAACGTCTCCACTTTTGACAAAATTGTGTGGAAGGTGCAGGGTGTCATGAATATCTAGTCTTTCATTTCATCTCCGTGAATTTAATGAGTTCTGGGCCCTGTATTGGCACAAGGCTTCAGCTGATAGCTGTGGTGAGACTTGCACAGAAGGCCTACCTGTTGAGTGCAGGACCACAGACTTCACAAGTGATACAATATAATGTAAACTGTGAAATTTTGACAGTTTGTATTTTTATTTTTTCCATTATTATGCATAGAAATGCAGTTCAATAGGTATTAATGTATTAATGCTGTCTGCAGCCAGCCTACCTGCTCGATCAGAACACCATCGTTAAACTTTGGATATCTTTCATGATGAATCAGTTTACTTTGTGACAAGGAAGGATAAGAGGTGTGTGGGAACTAAGGGGATGACACTTGTCCTTGTTACAGCTTATTATAGTCTTCTTGCTTATTGTATTGATTTAAAGTCAGAATGTTGTCACTTCAGTGGATTCTCACAAAACTGGTTGCTTGTCTCTGTGACATGCCTCATGGTAAATGTCGCCCTCAGGAGAAGTGGTTGTACTTAATTCTAAAGATTCTGCATATGGTGTTATATAGATGGTGAAACATGTTTACAAGTAATTTAACAATCTAAGAAGTGCTGCATTAGGTCACTGTTATGCCGGATACTGCTCCCCCTTACCTTGTTACAGTATATCTTTGTTATTATGGCTCTTCAATGAAATGCCCAGCAGCAGAGTAGGTCGTGTAAGCCATGATAAAACAGATCCACACTCAACAGATTGTCAAGTTCTGTTTGTCTGGAAGTGCTCGAATCTTTGTTCATTTAGTAGCTGAGGCTGCCAGAATGTTTTGAATGACTATACTATCAGATAATGATGTCCCTTATATATACATGTTCATAATATATCAGTTATTATTAAATTCCTAAAGAAATGTTTTTGTTGTGTCTGTGTCCATGGAGTTCAGTGCCATGCCTTAGTCCATAACTAGCTGTGAAGTGGCCTAGTGGTCACAGTGGTGACTCATCACACCACAGGCCCCAGGTTTGATTCTATGAAGTCCATTTCTGGTATCATCTCCTGTGGAACATCGCTAAAAATGGCACAAGAGACAACTCAGAAATAACAAACAACAGATTGCAATTTGAAAGTTTATAATAAGTTAAATTTGTTCACCTGGCTTTTCCTAAGTACAAATGCATCATATAGAAGAGCATGTGAATTAAACGGACACAAAACAGCACAAGGCCTGCAAAAACAATCATGTATTTACAGTTAACAAGCTTTGAGCTAAGTCAGTCTGGAATGAATAAGAGCTTCCCGACGGGTCGCTCCTGGGTTGCTAGAGACAATATCTCCGCAGGATACGGGTCTACATATAGATACTCCCACAGCTTGCATGTCACACAAGCAAATCTCATTTCATTCAAGAACTGACATAACATGGCCAGATGTTACTCTATTTGTAAAAAAGTTAACGAAAATCAACGAAAGATATTATCACCTGAACATAGTCTTTCCCAGTAGGAAACCTTCTGACAGAAGATTCTTTGCAGGAAGAACACCGAAACAGATGATGTGGCTAACTGGTGACTCCCATCCTTTGCAGGACATTACTTATTTCCTTTCTTAGCCTGTGTGTTACCTCTTGTCACAGGCTGAACACTGAATGAGGACATGCAACTGTGCCCTATGCCAGTATATGTGATTCAGGCTGTTGTTACACACACCTATCCTGGTTACAGGAGTGGGTTCACACAACTGGATAGATGCAGGCAGTGCCCAGTGGCCATACTAAACTACCCGGGAGAGGATAATCCTTAACATTATGGCTGAAACAACTCCAATCCAAAAATACTTATTAATATTACATTACAGAGCAAGATTATTACATTACTGGTAGTAGTAATATTATTTTTGAAATACATGTGTATGTGATGATTCATTGCAAGACAATAACAAGTGCTTGTATTCAACGTTTCAAATGTACACATAATCCAAAGAATGAAGTCATTAAGTTCAGACAGTTTTGGAACCTATCAACTCGTTAAAAGACATACTTATAGAGATAAGTGTATCATTGTAAAGTGACTTAACACTGAAGTGCCTCCCAGGAAGCATAGGTTGTATACTCCCCAGGGAGTTGAAAATGACAACAGCCACGTGACCATTCATTTGAGTGAAATTCGGTTCAATGTAAATGGAATTATTATTATTATTATTATTATTATTATTACCCACTGTATCGTGCCACGTTATTTCAGCCTTAACATATTATCATATCCCCATTACAGAGGCTGTGTATTATTCACCGACAAGCCCTTGTCATTCTCCGGGTATTTCACATCACACAGCTGCTATGTGTGGACCTTGCTTTCTCGTTTAACGAAAACTCATACACTATTGGTGACAGGCGACATTTCTGATATCACAGACACGGAGCGTGACCAAGTGGGTTGCTACTGGTCAGACATTGCACAAAGAAATGGCAAAAAACAAGCATGTATTTACAACACCACACAGCACCATTGTATAGCAGAGCTCATTGACTTTACACCCATCACATGCCAAGGTTATTACTTTTGCTGAAAATCTTCTAGTATTTGCAATATAAAAAATGAACATTTCATAGAAACAAAATGATATGAACTATAGATCTGACATAAGGAACATACAGTATGTGTTAATATTTGACGTTGCTACATCCTCGCATATACATCGTACGGAATCTCAGAGTTATCACATCACAGAGAGAGACTGCTAGTTACAATACCCTTATATAATTCACTACACTGAAAGACTTGATTACGATAGACATCCACACATAATATGAACCTGTGTAAGAAATGCGTGCAGCGCTACCAAACAGCGTAATGCCCCACACAGGACTAACAACATTCACCTCAATTTGGAAATGTTGACAAATTTATGAAGGATATGTAAAAAAAATGAACACTAAAATCTTATATACCATCCTAAAAGATCCCACCAAAGTCATACTGGCGTATACATAAGGGAGCAAAACCAGTCTAAATCCTTTCTCCCCTAACAGCCAGATGAAAATGTTTTAAGTAATGTAAAATGTTAATTTGCAATACAATTTGTGATGTTATCAGAAATCTGCTTGTGGATTCAATGGTTTGGAAACATTTTGGACTACCTAGGTTTACAAAAAAGCTGCCATGATAGATACGAATTCTCCCATTGTCCCAGAAAATCCTTCAATGAACTTTGAATACTTCCAAGAAGAGATATAATTTTGAAATTCCTTATTCCACATGATCTATGAGCAACAAGTTACACGGTGAACATTACTGGTATAACAGCAAGCGAATCCTTGAACATGTTTACTTAATAACCAGTCTACCAAGGAACGTGTATCTTGAACAAGTGAAATTATGAAGCCTACCATGAAGGACAACAGGCCATGCTGGGGTATACAAGCACACTGCCACAACGGACTGCACTTACAGACCAGGCCATATGGAGGAGGAATACACGCCTCCCTTGTCACAATGCAGGTCATTTATATATCTCAATATTTCCAATAAAACCATTTCATGCCTCAGAATCTGTAAATAGCAATGTCTTTTAACAAGTGGCTTATAACTTGACACTAAATTTGCTTGAGTTACCTCCCCTTGTTTGTAGCCCTACAAGACCAGTGACTTGGGAACAAAGAAAATGCCCAATATATCATTTTGATATATATTGCATTTATTTATCTTTAACAACTGAAAATATATTAATGTCATTTCTGAGAAGGCATATAGTTATTTCTTGATTTTTCTGTCATTACTTCTGTCATCACAGTAGGCTGGTTCAACATTTCTTCATGCAAATTCTTTGGCACTCAAGAATGGTACAAGATCAGACTCTTCATGGATGTTATGACACTAAAATCCGGCAAAAACATTCCTTGACTGAGAAAAGATTTTTCAAGTAATTACAGAGATCATAACCTCATATATTTCCTGGATCAGTCCAAGCCAAATTTCACTTTGATAACTTCTACTAGTAGAACTCTTCTTCCCCTATTTCTTCCATGTCTGGAGACATTTCTTGTGGGTCTTCCTGCTTCTTCCATGCCTCCTCACACTCGGGTTTGTCAATGAATCGGAAATCGGCCAACTCGTTCCGTATCCGCTGAATTTCCTTGTAGTACTTTTGTTTTTCCCTTGAAGAGATTCCAGACACTTCAGTTGGCGAGTCTTCATCAGGGAACAGAGCTCTGTGTACCACTGCAAGAAGAGGCGTGAGTTTGTTTTATCACCACGGATACCACCTTCCAACAGGTATGGAAACTATAGCAAGTTGGTTATAAAAACAAATTCCCACACAAACAATCCAACAGTAAAGAACTAAGCACCTGCGAGTGAACACCAGCAGACCTGTTTCATGTACCCCGAATGTTAGTGGCCTACAACTTCCTGACTATAGTCCCGAGACCAATCATTCTGACATGGAGAAGGTAACAGATTCAATAAATAAGTAATGCAACCAAAAGCCAATGCTCATTGCTATTGCATATCGACTGCAAACCATTATCTACCTTGTTGGTGATGCTCAATTTTGCGTAGATTCTTTAGGATGCCAGCAAGCTCCTGATTGGCTGACTTCCAGGCTGGTATCTCGTTCTTCCCCGAGTGACTGAGGAAGTCGTCTATGGGAGAGGGAGTTGCACTCACACGATTATGCTCTCTGAAAACAGTCACATGTTTCTGTCAAGAACACGATTCAAATGGTTTACATAATCTAGGTCCGTATTTTCATAGCAAAAATATGCTCATCCTAACATAGCTCATTCTACCAAGTCTCGCAAATACAATCTCAAATATTGTGTCTTAGCATGTTCGCATGAGGTCAAATGTGTTTCTGTGTCTACTGTGACCTGGCAGTACATGTGTCTACTGTGACTTGACAGTACCTGTGTCTACTGTGACCTGACAGTACCTGTGTTGACAGTACCTGTGTCTACTGTGACCTGACAGTACCTGTGTCTACTGTGACCTGACAGTACCTGTGTCTACTGTGACCTGACAGTACATGTGTCTACTGTGACCTGACAGTACCTGTGTCTACTGTGACCTGACAGTACATGTGTCTACTATGACCTGACAGTACCTGTGTCTACTGTGACCTGACAGTACCTGTGTCTTCTGTGACCTGACAGAACCTTTGTCTACTGTGACCTAACAGTATATGTGTCTACTGTGATCTGACAGTACCTGTGTCTACTGTGACCTGACAGTATATGTGTCTACTGTGACCTGGCAGTACATGTGTCTACTGTGACCTGACAGTACCTTAGTATACTGTGACCTGACAGTACCTGTGTCTACTGTGACCTGACAGTATATGTGTCTACTGTGACCTGACAGTATATGTGTCTACTGTGACCTGACTACCTATGTCTACTGTGACCTGACAGTACCTGTGTCTACTGTGACCTGACAGTACCTGTGTCTACTGTGACCTGACAGTATATGTGTCTACTGTGACCTGACAGTATATGTGTCTACTGTGACCTAACAGTATATGTCTACTGAGACCTGACAGTACCTTAGTATACTGTGACCTGACAGTACCTGTGTCTACTGTGACCTAACAGTATATGTGCCTACTGTGACCTGACAGTACCTTAGTATACTGTGACCTGACAGTACCTGTGTCTACTGTGACCTAACAGTACCTGTGTCTACTGTGACCTGACAGTACCTGTGTTTACTGTGACCTAACAGTATATGTGTCTACTGTGACCTGACAGTACCTTAGTATACTGTGACCTGACAGTATATGTGTCTACTGTGACCTGAGTACCTGTGTCTACTGTGACCTGACAGTACCTTTGTCTACTGTGACCTGACAGTACCTGTGTCTACTGTGACCTAACAGTATATGTGTCTACTGTGACCTGACAGTACCTTAGTATACTGTGTGACAGTATACTGTGACCTGACAGTATATGTGTCTACTGTGACCTGACTACCTGTGTCTACTGTGACCTGACAGTACCTTTGTCTACTGTGACCTGACAGTACCTGTGTCTACTGTGACCTGACAGTATATGTGTCTACTGTGACCTGACAGTATATGTGTCTACTGTGACCTGACAGTATATGTGTCTACTGTGACCTGACAGTACCTTAGTATACTGTGACCTGACAGTATATGTGTCTACTGTGACCTGACTACCTGTGTCTACTGTGACCTGACAGTACCTGTGTCTACTGTGACCTGACAGTACCTGTGTCTACTGTGACCTGACAGTATATGTGTCTACTGTGACCTGACAGTATATGTGTCTACTGTGACCTGACTACCTGTGTCTACTGTGACCTGACAGTACCTGTGTCTACTGTGACCTGACAGTATATGTGTCTACTGTGACCTAACAGTATATGTGTCTACTGTGACCTGACAGTACCTTAGTATACTGTGACCTGACAGTATATGTGTCTACTGTGACCTGGCAGTACATGTGTCTACTGTGACCTAACTTTACCTTAGTTTGTTGAGTGTCCTGTCTGTCGACGTCTTCAGCTTGAGTGACAACTGGTAGATCGAGGTGATGAGGAGAGTGTCGTAGGACTGAAACATACACACAGCAACATCAGCACCACATGTGTTACATCATCATGACAAACACATGAGCTAACTAGCAAGTTGGATTCATCATTCAAACACAGATTAGTTTCTATATCAGTGCCCCTTTAAGATGTATACATCCATTGAGCTGATGATAACCCGTGGGAGTGAGCTAGTGAGTGAGTTTGGTTCCATTCCGTTTTTAACAGTTTTCCTGTTATATAACAGCACAGCAACATGGAGACCCACAACGGCCATGGACATCAGATCCTTGAGCACAGCCTCTCTCAAGGACACTTATATATTTCAAGTAGTCATCACATCACACAGTATTTCATCACTATCAAGACAGAGTTTAGTCCATGGCCTCAGGCCCTTCTATCTATAGATATTATACACTTATTTCCTGTGTTTGTTTTGATATGCAGATCTCTTCTCCCCAGGGGAAGGTGAGACTATATTGTACTCTGTGTCAATGCTATGTTACACTGTCATTACAAACTTTCCCCACCATAATGCAGTCTTCAGTTAGCAAAGACAGTCCTAATTGTTCCCCTTTATACACCATGCTGATTCATTGGTTCAAATATCACTGAAGCCTGCTGAGGTCAGGGTCTAATTGAAGGTATACCTATGTCTAGATCTTTTAAACAATCATAATTCTGAATAATTACAATAATTTGTATTACATGACATGATAATATTGCAATTATTATTTTATAATATATGAACACTTTTTACTTTAGTACATTTTACAGCTTGACAACATTATATAAGATGTGATTGAATGAATGATGCTGTCAGCAATATGGAAGATATATCACTGTGTCATAGAGATAACTGTGTCTGGACCAGACAAGCCAGTGACTGAAAACATGAGCAACAACCCACAACATTTGGTGACGATGACCGTCAGCCAAGTCACTAAGCTTGACCACCATGTCTATTTCAGTGGTTTCTTGTGACAAAGTTACTGACCAATTCTACCATAGGATCCACATGGGCGCCATCACACATCACAGGTGGTGGAATTGGGTTTAACGTCGTGCTTGAGAATATTTGGCTCATATGACGACGTGCATGCGTGTGTATGTGTATGTGCGGCTGCTTGTAATAGCCCAGACTTAAGCTGGTTTTATAGTGCTAGCCCACTGAGATACCATGCCGCAGTGAAGCATGAATACCCCACTCAGACACATTATACTGACTCCGAGCCGACCAGTCCTTGTTGTACCCATTAATGCCTAGAGCCAGGCAGGGACCAACAAGTACCATATTTTAACGTCTTTTGGTATGATGCGGTCGGGGATCGAACCCGCGACCTTCCTCACTCCGGGCGGACGCTCTAACCACTACACCACGGAGGCGGTCACACATCACAGGACTGACAGTACTACAAGACACTCTAGAGAGGCAAACACTGACTGAACTCCACGAGACGGACACACACATTAATAGAGAGGTGATGAGAAAACACAGGTTATTCTCCATGCAGGCGGTAACAACACGACACTAGGGAATACAGGCTGTATAGCACGTGATGACGAGGACACAAGGAATACAGCCCAGAACTTCTTCATACAACTTATTATATGTAGCAACAAAAATATACAAAAAATAATCTCGGAGATATTTCCCTGACTCTATATATAGTCTGTTTGCAGTGAAAACATACCGATGAATTTCACTCTAAACAAAAAAGTAAATCGATTAAAGCGAAATTAAGATTGCGAATCCTCATAATTTTACCTTGCCAAATGAACATTTAAATCTCAGAATTTAGTACATTTTATATCTTGACAACATTATACCAGGGAGTATGCACATTAGATGAAACACCGAGAACAAGTAGGGCTGGTCTATTTAACGCTCATCAAGTATCGCATGTGCATTTGTTTCACTGTTCCATCTACTGCGCTTACCCCCTTGTAATACAAACCAATAATAGAGATTTGAATCTATGATCGTTTGTTAAACAACTTTTATCCTAAGTTGAATAAAATTCTGAGATTTAAATGTTCATTTGGCAAGGTAAAATTATAAGGATTCGCAATCTTAATTTCACTTTATTTGATTTACTTTTTTGTTTAAAGTGAAATTCATCGGTACGTTTTCACTGCAAACAGACTATAGACATAAATGTTATCTACAGAGTAGTTGTCAAGGTTTATCACAAGGGTTTGAGGTGTCCAGAACAGAATCACAATCCAGGCTGGATTTCAGACATAAAATCAAATGTGAAACAAGAAACATGACTATAGGGGTGTATTAATAATTATTTACAACTAATGACAAACACCTTTCTGACCATTCAACATTGTGGTTATAAACTGCCAGGGGACTGACTCTTTTGACATATTAGGGTTAACACATACATTCAAAACATACACGTGCTGGCCCTCTGGTATTGTAGATTTAATTTCTGAAAATATGTCCTTGTGTAACTAAAGAAAAAAATGTGCAATGTGGTGGAAATAAAATATATATGTCAAGAAGTAATTTCCCGAACTGTTTCTTTTCATGACAAGTCAAAAGGGTTATTTCCCCTTCCTATAATGATCTATTTTCTCTTTTTAATCAACTAGAATACTAATAAAATTCTGGTGTCAAATTGTGATGGTAAAATAATTGACTAAAAAACATGCCAAATGTTCAATATAGCAAAACAGTCTGCCTATGAATATGCTCAAACTTACGTCTCTCCTTCCAACTACAGGGACATATTTTCAGTTAGTACTGTATTTTATGAAAACAAACCTGTGGACTGTCCCCACCAGACAGTCTGGAATGGTTTTCCTCGTACTCAATGGAATCAAGAGTCCGTCGCCGTGACGACAGGGTGGAGGTGGGGAGGGGGGATGTCGCCACTGACGGTGACTTGAGCTTTGCCGGTGGTGGTGTAAAGGCGGATTTGTACACAGCACTCCCGAGCATGCCACGACTTATGTCCTACAAGACAACAGGCCATGACAACACTGGAAGCAACCGAGGCAGGAGGAGCAGGTCACACGACCAGTGCAACAAAACATAACTGTGCAAAACTAAAATACTTTACTACCTCAAATACAAATTGCTATTTTGGACTTTTATTTGAAAAAGAAACTAAATATGATATATTGTTTACTTTGATTATTTATCCTGACATACTCAATTATCCAGTGTCCTATACCTCAATTCTTATTGAAAATAGCCATGACCCATTTGCTAACAACATCGCACACACTTTGATAGGTGAATGAAATGAAACAGAAAGTTGTCATCAGCCAATCAGAATGCATTTTTCTGTCTTTACAGCAATAGTCTTAGATAGGTGTCTTCCATTTCATTGTACGCTTTCTAAACTGTTCTAAGGTCTCGATTTACAATTTGAAAACTCAACAAAAGAAAATTCAGGAATGTCTAACAGATGATCCTTAAAGTATCTCCACAGATCTAGAAGAACAGTGGTAGTGATCAGATTTAGTGAGATTGAGATTGAGAAGTCATTACCCACAGAATTCATCTAAGAACTAATCTCATTGAATAGCTGTTGTCAGTGGCAAATCTTAACATGAAGCCATGACAGTAAATAGCTCCAGGGTCTAGAACAGATACCAAAAACAGACAGGAAATCTAGCACACTGGATAATCAATGAATAAGATGTATATCAGAAGATGAGAAATTCAGTCATAATCAGTGAATGTTAGAGCATAATAAACTATTAACAGACTGGTTTAACAAACAGGGATTGTATATAAATTTCAAACAACTGTCCTATTGCTGGATGCAAACCTTGTTATTATTTAAAGACATTCTTCCTCATTACATATGGACAGAAGACGAAGTTAGGATAATGGACAAAAGCTAACACGTTTCATGTTAGATATGAAAGATTTTGCGTCCATTATGACAAGTTAAGGGTCTGTTAAGGATATTCCCATGCTCATCATGCTGCTATTATGCCCTATTAGTCTCAGGATGCAGGGAAGGCTAGTGATAACGGTGTTGATGAAGAACAATGGTTTAATTCTCAACATGGGTACGAATTATGGTTTTTCATTGTGCCTAATGTGATATGGCTAGAGTTTTGTGAAACCACCATACCCCTTTATGTTTATGATGTGAAGTTAATGTTAGTGTAAAACTAGGGTGCATTAATGAAACTCAAGATGCAGCTATACAACATAGAAGAGGGTCACTGACAACACTGCTATACACATGCTGGGAACACTACTCACCTGAGATGAATGTACCGAGAGACTAGTATCGTCCTCGTCAGCACTGTGAGAGATCCGGTCTCGACGTAGAGGCCCAGACAGGGGAATGAATGCCCGTGGGAGACCCTGCTCATCGAAGCTGTCCGTGGCTTCACTTGTGGTCAAACTGAGATCTTCCACACTTGAAATGGAGCCATTTCTATAGGTATCACTACTTCGGCCAGAGAGTTCTGCAGAGTTGGTAAATGAAGCTGATCTATACATCCGCTTCTTAGCCAGAGTTGACTGATTTGATGGCAGTGGTTTTGATTTAGGTACATCTTTAGCTTTTGCCTTAGCAGAGGCAACTGCTTTACGTGGGTCATACTCCTTCCTCCGTTTCCAGGCAAGCCGTTCTGCAGCTTTTGGTGAGTTGGAGCGACTTCCTGGCTGAGACTGGCTTCGAGCACTGTGGCCAGAAACAGACAGTCCCCGAGATCCATCTGTCTTCTTTAACTGGGACTTCAGAACCTTCAGTTCATTCCTCCTTGCAGCTTCAACAGGGTTGAAAACAGACAGTGTCTTTTGAGAATTGGTCTTGTACCCCGATCGCAAACTATGCCTACCACCATCTTTCCTATCAAAGTTTGGAGAAGATGATTTGATATTTTCCCTGCTCTTTTTGACTATCTCAGCTCCTAGGCTGACCTCACTCTTGCCAGAATCGAACCTCCCTGACATCCCAGACTTGGACCGCACAGAGGACTTGGCCGTGCTGGATGCAGTGGACCTGGCCACACTTGAGGCTGTGTGCACTCTCGACGAACTGGCAGTACGGTTGGTGGATCCTCTGGGTGTACTCCCTGTAGAGCTTCTGCTCCTGTTTGTCCTGGGAGTCTCCTCTGGGCCATCAGCTTTGGCCCGTCTCAGAGCAAATGCTCTGTTCGGCTTCGTGTTGGTAATCACACCCTTTTTGGCTTCTTTCTTGGCAGAACTTCCCATATTGTCTGAACTGACATCAGAACGATAACTTTCCGAGTCTCCCAGTTCAGAAGATTCACTATAAACGTCTGACACTCCTGAAGTGTCTAAACTGTAGCTTCTGGGTTTGGTAGTTTTACTAACATTTTGGTCCCTACTCACAGAGAGAGATTTACTTAAAGCAGGTTTTTTAGGTGTGGATGTTAAAACATGTTTAGGTGTTGACCTCTTCCCTAGATTGTCCCTTGGGCTTGAAAATGCTGTTGGTTTCACAAACTTGTCATCACCATTAACCATTGCCACAAGGCTGTCAGAGTCTGAATCCCCAGCTGTGTCATTCTGACAATAGCCATTCATAGTCTCTCTGTTAGCCATTCGAGCCTCCATGGCTGCCATCACAGTCACAGTATCCCTCAACAACACCTCTGTATCCATGCTGGTGTTTGTCGGGGCAGAATCAGAGGCAGGACTATCTGTCCTCTGGGTGGTATCCCCGCTCATGTCCGACCCACTTCCACTCCGACCACGAGCCGACGAGTCACCGTTGGTCTCCTCGTAGTGGGTTACTACTTGACTAGAAATAGTCACAGATTTTTGTTTTGAATCCAGGGGCCACAGTGTGAGTGGGTCCTCTTGTCGTGGGGTAACATCTCCCGACCGTGGACTCAGCTCCCCGATCCGAGGGCTATTATCACTGCTACAGGGACTCTGGTCAGTGGGTATAGAGGGCAGCTTCCTTCCTGTGCCCGGCCGCTCACGCCCATTAGGTGGCTTCTGGGAGCCCACATCTTTCATACTGTTATGACCTGAAAAAGGTAAATTACATGCTTGCAGATCAGTGACAGTTGAATAGGGCACACAGGGATTCACGTTTGATTGCTCAAGTGAAGCATCTCATTGTCAGTGGCTTCTGGATGAGTGTACTCTGCTTGCACCCCACTGACTTCATATGAACAGGGACAAAGTGAATAGATGTGAGTATTGTGAGCTCTACAGTCACTACCCATCCACATTATAGAATAAACCTTTAATGTCTTCACCAGCACTTGAATACTATGTTCATCAAAACAAAAGTTGTTTCAAGAATAATATTGAAAAGCTTAGGGTATACTTATCTATGGACAAAGGGGATATAGGTAATGTAAGAAAGATTCAGAGCAGGTTTAGAGAAGTTCCCATGATTGTGTAACCAGTAAACCCTTGGTGGGTGTGAGCTATTGATAGGCTTATTGCTAGGATGTAATAACAAGCTGGAAACTCTACAGTGTTCACAGCAGGCATCCAGCGGTGAAGCAGAATCTGCTTCCTTTCATAACACATTCCCTATTCGAAATAAAACCTGAATTTGAAAAAATTATGAAAAAAGAAAGAACACTGACTAAGCTTGAGATTTATTTGTTTACTGAAGCTCAAACTTCTATTTTCGAAGACCACAATTAACTTTCTCAACAGGACTAAAGGAAATGTTAGTAAAACATTCATCCAAAAATTTTATTTCTAAACAAACTTAGGATTTTTCTTGACAAACTTATAAAAAAGGCTATTTCCTAAGACTGATCATTCTGACAGAACCAACCTTCCTCCAGATCTAGACTCTGAGATTTCTTCAATGCTCGCTGCTTCGCCAAGGCAGCCCACTGTGACACCCACTTAGGAACATCGTCAGTGGACATGGTGGCCAGAGACAGGTCCTGAAACAACAAAAACTCCTCACTTAGCATTCAGTTCAAATTTCAAGAAAGAACAATCCATGAGCTCAAAGGCAAGAACTACAATCAGAAATTCTGCAATGCTGTATTGAGTACAGAAACACAGTACAGGGAAGATGCTGTACTCAGGGACATGAGGAAATCAAGCACATAACAAACTGTTCAGACGTATAGGATGGAGCAATCAATGAGCACAGAATAAGAACAGCCAATGCAATGATGAAAAAATAAAATATAAAAAAGAAAGAAGCAGAAAAGACCTGAAAAATATTATAACACACAAATATATACAACACTTTGCTCTGTAACACCCGAAGTATATCAAAACATTATCACACATTATAAACATCCCAGTTCTTGAAGTTCATATGAGTGAATGCTGATGCTGTGAGTCACATCAGTGATGGGAGATGATCAATTTGTATAACCCTCTAGGCCAGTAAACTGCTCTCGGGCCATGAATAACGTTCTCCTCTTATGCATGTATTGTATACTGTGCAATAAAAATGAAGACACTTTGCATACATCAAACGTAAACCTTGACTTGAAGGTTACACTTGATAAATCTGGATGATCATTTCCATAGGTCAAGGTCACAGAGGTCAGGTTATTTTACACGAATGGATGGTCTTCTGTGATGAAAGTTGACAATGCTAAAACCACAATTTCTTAACCATTATCAAGATAAGCGCTGCTTGTGGAGCGTGATGTGTACACCTATAGTTAGACTTCAATCTGTGATGGCTCCCCCCACTGCCCAATTTCTCCTCCTTGTCTGCCTCTGTGGACAGACCTGGCTGGAGGTCCCACCCAACACTGACAGCCTTGTGTACAACAGCATGCTTCACTGCTTCACAAGCAGATTCAATATTTCCAAGCATCAATGCAGAACGAACCAATTGGAAAGTGAGTACACCTACATTAACTGGTCATCATAGATCTGAGCAGATCCAACCCTGGGTGGATCCAGACACTGCCAACCCTGGGTGGATCCAATGACTGATAAACCTTGGTGGACCTAGCATTAACAACCCTAGGTGGACACCATGTCTGACTACCTAGGTTGGACATAATGATAACCCTGGTTGGACACCATGTCTGACTACCTAGGTTGGATGTCACTACATAATGATAACCCTGGTTGGACACCATGTCTGACTACCTAGGTTGGACATAATGATAACCCTGGTTGGCCCCTGTTCTGACTACCTAGGTTGGACATAATGATAACCCTGGTTGGCCCCTTGTCTGACTACCTAGGTTGGACATAATGATAACCCTGGTTGGCCCCTTGTCTGACTACCTAGGTTGGACATAATGATAACCCTGGTTGGACACCCCTTGTCTGACTACCTAGGTTGGACATAATGATAACCCTGGTTGGCCCCTTGTCTGACTACCTAGGTTGGACATAATGATAACCCTGGTTGGACACCATGTCTGACTACCTAGGTTGGACATAATGATAACCCTGGTTGGACACCATGTCTGACTACCTAGGTTGGACATAATGATAACCCTGGTTGGACACCATGTCTGACTACCTAGGTTGGACATAATGATAACCCTGGTTGGACCCCTTGTCCCACAACTAGGGTGGTCTAGCTATAACAACCCCATCTGGACACCATGTCTGACAACCTAAGGTGGATCTAGCGATAACAACCCCATTTGGACACCATGTCTGACAACCTAAGGTGGATCTAGCTATAACAACCCCATCTGGACACCATGTCTGACAACCTAAGGTGGATCTAGCGATAACAACCCCATTTGGACACCATGTCTGACAACCTAAGGTGGATCTAGCGATAACAACCCCATCTGGACACCATGTCTGACAACCTAAGGTGGATCTAGCGATAACAACCCCATCTGGACACGATGTCTGACAGCCTAAGGTGGATCTAGCTATAACAACCCCATCTGGACACCATGTCTGACAACCTAAGGTGGATCTTGCTATAACAACCCCATCTGGACACCATGTCAACAACCCTGGGTGGACAACCTAAGGTGGATCTTGCTATAACAACCCCATCTGGACACCATGTCTGACAACCTAAGGTGGATCTAGCGATATATCAACAACCCTGGATGGATTCCATGTCTGACAACAACCTAAGGTGGATCAATAGCGATAACCCTTTGATGGACCCAAATCCGTGATGGCTGATATCAACCGATTCAAAATTCCAATAGACATTCATAGATCGGTCCAATGACTAGCAAGCCATGAGTCGACCAATGGCTGTCATCCCTGAGATGTTCTGATGGAAGGCAACCCTGTACACACCTGATATCAACAAGCCAGGATGGATCTGATATCACCACCCCTGGATGGACTCAATATCACCACCCCTGGATCGATTCAATATCAACAACCCTGGGTGGACCCAATATCAACAACCCTGGATGGACTCAATATCAACAACCTTAGATGGACCCAATATCAACAACCCTGGATGGACTCAATATCAACAACCCTGGATGGACTCGATATCAACAACCCTGGATGGACCCATATCACCACCCCTGGATAGAGTTCTGTGTAGACCCAGTAGCCCTTCAATCTCAGCCTATGTGGGACATCAGGCATGGAGATAAATTGAAGCCCTCCAACCATGAACATTTTTACCCTACACACCCCATCAAACATCTGGCCACCAATCTAAGCTGTATCATCAACAGTAGAGAGTCACATTCAATTAGATACCTGTATAGGTTTAGAGAGTTACTGAAGCTCAAGTTATTCCTGATTAATGCGTCTCGTGTGTGGCCATTTTTAAACTGTCACATACATTTCTTGAGGGTCTGTTTCTTGTCCCGTGAGAGAGGTAGCGTTTTGAACACCCTGAGGCATGGACATTTTTAGCTAGTTCACAAAGAAACATGTCACCTGTTAAAGTGACACACGGTTCTATGATTTAGAGACATTAGGTTCATGATCTAATATATTTCCTGCAGATGAAATAACAATATTCTTATTAAAAGTTTTATTTCCATTTAACAAAATGAGCACCAAACAACATCCTCATCATCAACAAAAACCCTCACCTGTCAGAGTGAGAGAGTGTTCAGGGTTTAATCCCACCTATATCAGGGACTACATAGCTTTACGAATTTACGAATTTGGTGAAACACGAACCCAGATATGGTGCTGACGAACTTAGAAATACAATGAAGTAAACCTTGATTTGAACATACGATAGACTTCTTGACTAAAGTATGCAATTGCACAGCTAACTGGGGTAATCTTTAATGACATGATGACCCCTACCCCTTCAAATGTTAGAACTGCTCCATCACAAGACCTCACAGGTAAATATTCAACACATTTGACAGAAGCCATTGTAGATAATTCTCAGAAATAATCCCAGCTCAGCAAGTTACGGACATTTCACAACTGAATTGACAGGGTCTGCGTAATCCAGATCTATAATTACACATCTCAGTGTTTACTTAATCGTAGCTAACCTCAAGACAAATACCAGATTTCTTACTTATCCTCAACAACAAAAATGGCACTTGAGCTAATAAGCCGTGCATACTAGAAGCAAGATCACATCTATATCTAAATTTTTTTTATTGCTGTAGACATGCTAAGATGCCTGCTGTACGGGATGGACTGTTGGCTGACAGCAGCACTTGCACAACCAAGCAGTGGGTTACAACTGTGTCAAGTAATTCTCATCAAAATACAATCTTGTTCATACAAAGAATATATGCCATAATTTGTGGTGTATAATGCACAACCTTCTCAAATCAATTAAGGACCATCTTTTTCTTCCCTATTGCTGTTGCTTATCTGTTGTTTATAACTTCTTAAGGCAGTACATAAGAATGAATCTTGATTTGATGTGGGTTAGTTCAGACTGACTGACTGAGTTTGGTTTTACGCCGCTTTTAGCAATATTCCAGCAACATCACGGCGGGGAACACCAGAAATGAGCTTCACACATTGTACCCATGTGGGGATTCGAACCCGGGTCTTCGGCGTGACGAGCCAACGCTTTAACCATTAGGCTACCCCACCGCCCCGTTAGTTCAGACATAATACATGTGCAAAACCTATTCTCATAATTACTGCCGAAGGATACATAATGCATTTCTTTAATATTACCTGATATTTAATTTACATTGTGCATAACATCTGTGGCACGAATAGAGTGAAGTGATCAGAAGATTGATCACTCACTATTTACCAAAGGTAACATGATGTTTACACACCATGGGACCATGCTGTGAGAGACCATGAAAACTAAAACAGAGTCACATACAAATATCAGATTACATAAACGTAACATGATTATTCCACTTTATTTACAGCAAACCAGTGAGTCAAAAAGTTACCTGTGACTTGAATGACATTGCAGAGCCCTACAGGGCTATGTGTTTACATAATGCATCACATGAACGATGTTTGTATGAAAACACACCGAGTCAGGAAGTCTCCCTGCCTGACACCCCATGAGAACGCGAGATTATGGCTGCTTGACACTGTGATGAATGGAGGCCTCTCCTACATTCCAAATATATCCAGTCAGACTTTGCATTAAGGGTACACTTGGGACACTTTCCCCTGTAGATGTCTCTCCTCAACGAAACATCTTTACACCATCAATTTTAAAAAAATACTACAAAGTGGTGAATAGTTATTAAAAATTAAAATTAAAATTATATTTTTGTTTCATTTTCACCTCAAAGTACTCATGTCAAGCTATTGGTAATAGATACAGGTGTCCATACACAATTATGAAAGTTTAAATAAATGACATTAATATGTAGATACATAATCAAATGTTTCATAGATTTTTGTAAGAGAGATATTTCTATTAATGAGATTTCATAACTCCAAATTTATAAGGAAATGTATCAGAAATTTATCTTCTTATTTCTTTATGTTGATAAAATACAATTTAATAAAATACAGCATGAAAGTTGCCTGTGGTTGACATATAAAAAGCAGTCACTGTATGCAG